AAGTGGCAGAAGGAGGTTATTTCACCAAACGACGTGGCAGTCTACGGTGGTCTCTGCGCTCTGGCATACATGGATCGCAGCGACCTGCAAAGCAGAGTTCTTGCAAACACTGAATTCCGCAACTTCCTGGAACTCGAACCGCACATCCGCCGCGCCATTAACCTCTTCTGCAACTCCAAGTACAGCGCTTGTCTCGAAGTGCTCGAAGGCTACCGCAACGACTATCTCCTCGACGTGTATCTTTCCAAGATTCTGAATACAATCTACAGCCGCATCCGGAACAAGAGCATTGTGCAATACTTCATTCCTTTCAGCTGTGTCACGCTCGATGAGATGACTTCGAAATTCCCCGCAGCTGAAGGCAGAACCATTGAAGAAGATTTGGAAGAAATGATCAGGAACCACCAGCTGGATGCACGGATAGATCTTGTTGATCGCTTGCTCATCTGCCCACCGAGAGACCCTCGCCACGAAGTACAAGAGGAGGCGCTCAAGATGGCAGAGTCGTACGATCATACCCTTCGCCTGCGATTGACACGCCTGAACATGTTGGCAGCCGGATTGGAAGTTCAGCCAAACAAGACAAACGACAAGACGGTTGCTATGGGCAGTGGTATTGGCGACACATTCCGAGGCTTGGGTTCTAAGATTGGTTTCTAGGAAGAGTCGGAAACCAAGAAAGATGACAACGCGGTGGAAGATGGAGAGACTAGTGCGAACAAGACCACGCCAAAGGGGAAAAGGAAAAAGTTCACCCAGAGGCCACAGGGTATGGATAGTCATTAGCATTGCATGGCGTTATTTTAGGGGGTGGGTTCATTTTTACCAGAGGGTAATACAGCATGCGATTAGGTTAGCGAAGCCCAGGCATATTCAAGCGGCATTCTGGCGTTGAGAGGGACGGATGATAAGGTACGCATTTCCATCTGGTACGCTTTGAAGGAATATAATCATTGTTGTTCAGAATCAAGGAAGAGAGAAGTTTGACCGATCATTTCCTATGAAACACACGAATGATGACTTAACTGAGAACTACACAACTCATTCACCTTGAACATGTATTAGGACCCTACTCATTTTTGCCACATACTAAACCCACACAAATCAAGTCCAAATCTCAATTTTAAACTCGAAAAGAATCCTCCCCCCCCGCATTAGGAAACCAACATATGTGGGCCAAGAAAAAGAATGACAATTTGAATCAATAACTGGGTATCTAAATGTCTTTTACACGCCAAATATTTCAAATTCGTATTCTGCGAAGAACTCATAATAACTGAAAAAAAGAAAGATGTAAGAGTTGGACGCCGACGCTTGCCCTAGCACACACACACACAGAAAGACTCACACCAAGCAGGAGAACAGAGTGAAGATCCGAAATTTTTGTCAGTCATCAAGATTATCATGATACTTTGATTCAAAACCCCCAAAGTAAAGAATAAGATGAAGAGAGGCGTGGGGTGGAGGGGGAAGAGAAAGTAGGACCAACACAAGTAATTGATCCTAATTGAGTTGAAACCCCCAAAGTTTTGCTTGTCTTAGCCCCAATGCGCGTCCTCAGCCTGTGCCTGCTGTTGCTGTTGGGAGTCTTGAGACTGCTGCTGTTGGTGCTGAGCTGCATTTTGGTTTGGAAAGCCATAGTATGCAGGGGTAGACCATGCATAATCACTTCTCGCAAAAGGGTTGTTGGGGTTGAGAGTTGCTGCAGCAGAGGCTATTCCTTCGTTTGAAGAGAGCATTTCTTGGTTTGTTTGGTTCGAGGATTGTGACTGGGTCTGCGCTGCTTGGACGTTGTTGCCTTGCATCGACATGCCATTTTGTGGCATTAGTGCACTCTGGTTGGTCATGACGTTGACGGTATGCCCATTCTGAGGTATTGGTCTGTTCAGAGTGCCGTAGGGAGAATGATTAGAGTGGTTGGTTGCAAAGTAATTTTGGGGTGTTTGGAGTTGAGAGGACTGAATCTGGTGTGCTTGGAGCTGTTGTTGTGTTGTTGTCATTGTCTGCGATGCTCCGATTTGGTTCTGCTGCTGCTGGCTCTGAAGGCGTTGTTGTGGACGTTGCTGTGGAGACTGACTGCCAACCTTGTACATCAACTGCTGCGGTGGGCTGCCAATACCACGCGACGAGCCTTGGTTGAGCTGCGATAGTTGCTGACGGTGGCTTGGCATGGTCTGTTGGCGTTGTGGAGTTTGCTGTTTCTGCTGTTGAGGAACTTGGGGCATTGTCTGGGACTGTGAGACCTGAGGGCGATGGCGAGGCTGAGGCTGCTGCTGAGACTGAGGTTGGGGCTGAGGCTGAGGTCGCATCTGCCGTGGCTGCTGCTGAACGTGTGGCTGCTGCTGAACATGCGGCTGCTGTGGCTGGACATGAATCTGTTGCGGCTGCGACCGTGGTCTGGGTGCAGTATGTGGTGCTTGCACTGGAGTCGTTGAGGAGCGCCTCTCCGTCTCGAACTCGCGTATTTTTGCTTTGGCTTCTTCCAATTCTCTCTTCAATCTTTCAAGCTCGGATTCATTATTTGAAGCCTGACCAGAGTGAGACGCTTGACGGGAGTGCTGTGTCGGCTCAGGAGGACCGGTAGGCGGACGTTGGTCCTCATCAGTCGCGGATTCCGGATAGAAGCATTCCCGGTTTTTGGTGATACACGTTTGGCATATTGGCCGTGTGTTATCGCACTGCAATTATGTCAGTTCGGTAAAGCGTGGGTAGTAGGACGAGTGCCAACGTCTTCCACTCTTTTTGTAGACTTGCCTTTGTCTTCTTTGTCTTGCAGGCATTGCAACTGGTCCTGGGTCGCTTTCGTTGCGGTGTCTGCCCAATATGAGGTTCAACATATAGTGTGTTTTGTGGGGCTGCCGAATGCTCTTGTGCTGGCCGAGCAGGACGATGAGGGGCAGGAGGGGGCGGTGGAGGTGGAGGTGGAGGTGGAGGTGGTGCAGAAGACGTCGGCACTATCTGTGAGGGTGTGTCTACTTGTATGAGCTCCAAAAGCGATCGAAGACTCTGAGCTCTTAGGTCACTTTCAAGTGAAGTGTTGGACAACCTTGGAGGGTCTGGAAGAGATGGAGTTGGAGGCTTCTTTCTCTTCGTCTTGGGAACGTCCGGATCCTCGCTGCTCAGCTGTCTGGATCGATTCGTGAGCCTCGCCAATGCCTCTGGATCATTTTCCTCGAGGTACTTTCGCCGCTTGGAATCTTTGCGTGGGGGCGGTGCGCGCTCTTCGTATGTCTTATGAATAGGCACATGCTTGTAGAAGACATCAAGCGTCTGCTTGGAGGCCGAGAACTTGACAGACAGCACGCCCTTGCAGTCGTAGACAGGTTTGGTCGCACGCTTACCCATCTTTGCGCCTTTGCCATTGGCAGCACGGTCCTTGTTGAGGAGCGAGTCGTTGCAGTAGTAGGAAAAGCGGAAGCTGTCATCCTCTCTGCTGTTCCAGCAATTGTGAAAGCTGTAGCGGTACCCATCGATCTTTTGTATTGCATCGACGCAGCACTTTGCTATTGCCCTCTGCTTCCGCATCTTGTCCTTGGGGTCCGGCGTTGGCTGCAACGCTTCCGCGACAGTCAACTCGACCCTGAGCTCCACTTTCTTGGGCCCATTATTCGGTTCGACGGATTCGGCGAAGCTGGGCCGGGGTGCAAGAGTGGGGTCTGGGAGAGGCTGATATTGCGGAGGCCTGCCATATGGGGCAGACTGATAGCCGGATGAGGTATGGGGTTGTTGGTGGGGGAGGCGAGTCTGGTGTTGCTGCTGTTGCTGCTGCGGTGGCTGCTGAGATGGCGGCTGGGGCTGAGACGTGCGGGATGTCGATGTGGACGAGGGTGGTGGGACTGAGAAACGAGTGCCTATCCAGAAGGAGAACTGGGCATCTGTGTGCTCTGGGTCCTCTGGCGGGCTGCTGAGATAGTCGCGTACTGAGGCCTCGAAGCGGTCAAAGGTGGTGATGTTGGTGAAGGGCACCGTTTTGGCCTGCGCGTCTCTGGGCTGGCGGCCGCGCGCGAGCTGGACGGGAGCGGCGGGCCAGAGGGCTTGGTCGTTGGCATGGCGAAGACTCTGGGGTTGAGCATGGGACGATGCCATGTCAAGTGGAGTCCGGCCCGCGAGCCAGGTTCAAGGCACCTGGAAACACTATCCCAAGGGTCAATACGGTGTTTTGGAAGTGGTACGGAAGGCCGTGCCAGCCTTGGCTTTCAGGCCATCCCCAAGCCTAGCTTGACGGTCACGGCGGGTTCGAGGACATGGACATCCCAGCAGGCGTGCCAATGGTTGTCTACACACGCGCAGAGTTTTTGTTGAGGCGTCTGCAAATGCTGCAAGGCTAGAGGGTGTCGCAGCAACTGTAGGTGAGATGACGCATTCGCCCTTTTCTTGCTCCCCAGCTCTGCTTCTGCCGCCAGAGGGCAATGCGAGGCCAGCTACATCTCAATGGCGTCAACTACGTATGTACACACGGAGTAGCTGCCTGTTCAGGTCGCGACTATCCTGTACACGTCAAGAGACTAAGCGTTGTGATCGACATTGATCCCCATCCCCCATCTCTCCATGGCACAGGTACCGTGACAATCACGTGACCTTGGCTGCCTACTTCCTGCTTACGCGCAGGTGCAGCCACAAGATAATGGACATACGGGTGATCAATTCCAGATCTGCAGCTTGCTCATTAGTCCTCTCTTTGTAGGCTACACTATCTTTAGTCTGGCATTTCGATACGCGTTTACTGTCTCGATAAACCCACACAATTGTCTGGCAAGTAACAGTTGCGCCCTTTCGTCTTGCTGTGCCCTTTCTTTCCGATGGTAGCATTTGTGGATCCAGGAAGCAACAAAGCTACAAGCTCCTCCATAGGCAGCCATGCACCTCCATCTTCCAAGGCCCCCAGTTACCCCACACCAACACCTACCATGCCTCTTCCGTCTTGACTCACACCTTGTGTATATATAAATATCAGCAACCCAATAAACACCAAATCTAGAACTCAGAGCCATCTCCTCAAAATGGCTTCCAACAGTGATGCTGCCGGCTCACAGAAGCATTCAGTACTCAATTCATCCTTCCCTGTATTTCTTCCAGAGGATGTGGCACTACACATGTCAGAAGATGAGTTCCAGCATCTTCTGAAGCAGCAAATACATCCAAATGGCTTGAAAGAGGGCAGCGAACAAAAATCCACTGCCAATGGCAGTCAATCAGTCACCGTTGCTGAAAACGAGCCCGTGAGTAGCACCGGATTGAAGCGAAAGGCATCGTCTGACGCTAACAATCTCCGTCCACAGAAAGCGCCATTTGTCGCTGGCCTAGAAAATCACGCCGCCCACGTGCGAACAGATGAACAGCTTGCGGCCAACAACCAAACCTTGACAGAGAACGGCGACGTCACCAACATCTCATCGAAACATGTGCTCGTGGACCTATTCTATGACCTTGGCCAGGCTACCGGGCCCGAAAGACTTAAGACCCTACTCAAAGATGCCTGGAACGAAGACCCTCTCCTAACTTTGAAAATCATATTCAATGCACGCAGTATTCATCTGGGCAAAAGCAGTCGACTCACCGCGTACACGGCCTTGAGCTGGCTGGCCGAGAACCATCCTTTGACGTTACTGGCGAACCTAAAGTGGCTAGTTCGACCCGTCATAGCGAAGAAGGCCGAGCCAAAACCTGAGTCCAAGGACGACTCGATCAAAAAGCTTGAAGACGATTTTGAAATGGTGGAGGTTGGTGAGTCTGATCCTTCCAAAGCACACGACATCAAGTATGGAATGTCGCATGGGTACTGGAAAGATCTCCTCAATTTAGTGGTATTTTCAGCAAATGACCAACTCAAGTTCGATGGCGACCCGTTCTCTCTGCTCACTCAGGTTATCGATAATACAGAACACCCTAAGGAAACAAGAAACTGGGATCCAAAGGTTGCGAAAGAAAACCGACACCGCCAAAGACAAGAGCACAACCAGCGGGTGCAAGACAAGCTGAAGAACGATCCTTTCCATCGTGCGCTACACATTACTGTCGCGAGAATGTTTGCAGAGCAACTCAAGTCCGACAAAGCCCTATTGGATTCTGGAAAGGCATCAGACTTGAAAAAGATATCGCTCGCAGCCAAGTGGGCGCCCACCTTTGGTGAATTCCACGACAAGCAGACCTTCATCCAGTCTTCTATTGCCGAAATTCTCTTCCCAGATCCTGCCTTGCACTGTCCCGATGCCAGCAACCGCGAACTCTACCTCCGTCATGCCCGCGAGCTCTATCGAAAACAGTATGCATCACCTCTACGTAAGGCCCTGGGTATCGTTGAGCGGGAGATTGCAGCGAAAACTTTTGAGAATATCAAGTATGAACAGGTACCATCACTTGCCATGGACCGCTACAGTCCACTTTTCATGCAGAAAGACGAGGAGCGCTTTACCACCTACGTCAACAACGTCACCGCCGGTACTGCAACCGTGTCTGGCGCTACCCTGCTGCCATCGACGCTAGTCAGCAAAGCACGAGGTACCGGTAGCAGGCAGGTGCCCCTGAGGAAAGGCAAGAAAGTCAATTTCAAGGCTATAAAACAGAGCAACCAAGACAAGATACTTGGAGATCTCGTCGATGGCCAGTGGAAGACTCTCGTCCAGCGCGTACGCGATGCAGGCACTCTGCAATCTAGCATCGCCGTATGCGATGTAAGTGGCAGCATGGGCGTTAAAGTATTCAAAGATGGCTCCTGCCCCATGGACTCTGCCATTGGCCTCTCCCTCCTCATCTCAGAGGTCACAGCACCGCCCTTTGGTAACGGCTTCATCACCTTTGAAACTTACCCCGCATACATTTCTACGAGCGGCGCAGGCGAGGGACTCAGAGAGCAAGTCAGGTTTCTGGAGCAAAGCCCCTGGGGTGGTAGCACGGATCTCGTTGCTGTCTTCACAAAAGTTATTCTCCCCATGGCTATCAAGAACAAGCTCAAGCAAGAAGATATGGTCAAGCAGGTTTTCGTATTCAGTGACATGCAGTTCAATGAGGCCTACGGAGCAGAGAGTCGATGGACATCCTCGTTCCAACGCGTTAAAGAGGCGTATGCGGAGGCGGGTTACGAGGTTCCGCATCTCATCTTCTGGAACCTCGCTGGAAACAGTACGAGTAAGCCGGCGACCATGGATGATGCGAATACATCGCTTGTTTCTGGTTACTCGCAAGGTATGCTTAGGCTCTTCCTGGAGACTGGGGCGTTTGACGACGATCACGAGATTGAGGAGGTGGAGGTGGGAGTCGAGGGGGCGGATGGCATGATGGAGATTAAGAGAGTGAAAAAGAATATTGATCCGTTGACCGTGATCAAGAAATCAGTGGCGCATAAGGCGTATAGTATGCTCGAGGTTGTGGATTGAAGGGCTGAAACAGAGAGAAGTGGGAGTGTGTATGTTATGCCACGTGATTATGACGTGAGGACCATGTGTGTCGGTTGTATAAAAAGTTCTTCGACGTTTTTTCTTCTCGCTTAATGAAAATATATTCCAATTTTCATGTCATATATCTAGACTTCGTAATTGTACTTTAAAGGTTGTTTGATCCTTGACTCTCATCCGAGCATCTGCAAGGCTGATGTGAATACCCCTTGCGCTATCAAGAAAGGGTCATGCAATGGAGATGACCGGAAAGCCGAACTTTATGTTACGCTTGTCAATATCAGCCGTTCCGAACGGGCTGTCCGACAAGATGCGATTGAAAAAAAGGTGCCAGGACGAGTATCATATCGAAGCCAGCATTGAACGCAACAAAAACTCCAGCAGTACTCTTAGTCCCCAAACCTCAGTAGCATCACAAACAAAACTCACAGCCCCACGCTTCCCCCTCTCTCTAGCGCCGTCATCCGCACCCATCACCCCCAACCTACCAATCATCATCACTATCCTCCCCCGCAATATCCCCCCCTTTGACCCTATCCACCACGCGCTTAACCCCCCTCTCCACACTCTCACCCTCAATCGCCACACCCTCATGCCACACAATCGGATCCATCACCCCATCCATAAACCACATGAGCGTCGGCACAAAACTGACATCCAGCATGGTGCCCAGCTCCGGCAGCGAATACATGTCGAAGCAGTATACATCTACCACCTCGTGCTCTGCGTAGCTGGATGCTGGTAAGAGCTTTTGCAGCGCGGCAACGACTTCGTTGGAGGTCGAGTCTTCGGGCCAGTAGGCGAGGAGGATGGTTTTGCCCGCTGTGGCTTTGATGCAGGCCAGGTATTCGGCTAGGTTTGTGATTTGGGTTAGATATGACATTTTCTTTTGTCTCTTCTCCTTTCCCCCTTTTTTCCTTTTTTTTTACGCTGAACGGCTTTCGATTTGAGGAGGGGTTGAGTTCTTTTGTTTTCTTGGTATTGGCCAAGCTGCTGGGGTTGTGAGGTGAGGGTTCCGATCGGAAGATTTGGGAGTGCCGCTTTTTACTTAGCGCTGATTAAGCTTGCCCTGCTGCGGTTGATTGGCTGCTTGGAGATTTATAGAAGGACATGCCTGTTTTAATAGAAGGCTCGCTAGGATCTGCGATACAACGTAAGCAATTTACGAGGTGTTGCCGGGTCGAGCCGTGTAGAGGTAATTTTCTTAGATGAATATGGGATTCGTTGTATTTTTGCTTATTGCTTCATTTTTAGTAAACGAAAAGACATACTCGCTGTGAGTACTGAAAAGCACTGCATCAGCAAAACTCGAACGGCAGTTGCCAATAAAAGGCCCAATTATTAAGATGCTTACGGATAGCATTGTCTTGTTCCCATTTAGGAACCTTGGTACGCTAGCCGGTCGTCCCGCGCGTATAATCTCGTTAGAACCTTACACCTCCTTTTGGACTAACACCGCTGTGCAAAACCCCGGATGGCTCACCAGCATATCCTGTTGAAAAGGCGACAATGCGGTTTCTCGGCCTAATCTTGATGACTGTTGAATTAAATGCTGGCTTACGTACAAACAAAAGTATATATCTCACTGAGAAGGCGCGTATTCCAATATGCCTTTTTTTGACCCAGCTCCTTTCAATATAAAAGCGCTCCTGCGCCCCTAATGACAGGCAGTATGCAGTCTTCGCAGCGGTGGACAAAGAAGTGAGTAGATTCCTCATCAAGAACTAGTTTCGGCAACGCGATTCATGCATATCTCTATCCAAATCGCCATGCAAACAACACCCCGCTAGCCTCTGGACCCTCTTCTATTGATAGACTGAGATAGCTGAGACCATTCTTTTACGCAGACTCGCGTTCGCTACATTCGCTGTTTTCCTTGTTATCGTTCCCCTAAGCTACCACCATGCAATTCCCATTCAGCGATATCGCGAGTACATAACGGGTGATACCGTAGTAGAACTGAAAACAAACAACGAGCAACCTCAAACCCAATACTTCAAGTTTGAACCTGAATGGGATTGGGACGTACCCGACTACGCAAGTAGCCTCAATGGATTCAAGCGCGAGCCGAAACCCAAAAACGTCATCATCTTAACAGCAAGCGATGGAGGCGGCCACAACAGCCAGATCCCCAACCTACTAGAGCGGGTACTGGAGAACCGGGAAGAATACTGTAATCGACACGGCTACACCAACCTCTGGCTAAACACAAGTCGCTACGATATTGGAGATTCTCACCGGGTACGCCCGCTTCCACCTCTTATCCAACCCCCAAAATATCTAACAACAGATGTAGGTATGGGCCAAAATCCCCGCCTTGGCAGAAGCCTTCTACCTCCACCCCAAAGCCGAATGGATCTGGCTCATGGACGCCGACATGATCATCATGACCCCCTCCGTCCCCCTCATCTCCACCATCCTCAGCCCCTCCGCAATTGAAAAAAGCATAATGCGCAACACCATGCTTCTCAATGGCACCAGACCCCCAACAAACATCTTCACACCAACCCGCTACCGCGTCGAAGATGTCGACATCCTCATAACGCAGGACCACCAATTCGTCAACGCTGGATCGATATTTTTCCGGCGCTCAGCGTTCACACGCTTCTTTCTAGAAATGATGACGGATAAAACCATGTTGATGGGCAAGGAACATCATCTTGCCGAGCAGAATGCGATTAAGCATTTGATGCTTGAGCATGAGTTGGTCAGGAAGCATGTGGGCATTTTTCCGCAGCGCAGTTTTAATGCGTATGCGGCTGGGGGGCCGCATATGCTGTGGAGTGAGGGGGATTTGGCGGTGCATTTTGCAGGGTGTTGGGTTCATAATCAGTGTAGGAGGTGGTTTGAAGATTATTGGGCGAAAAGAGGGAGAGAAAGAGCAGGAAGGTGAGGATGGGACCGAGTGAGGAGGCAAATCGGTCTCGACTTGGGATTCTTGATTGGGAGCAGGGTTGGTGTTTTATGAACTGCGTTGAGCAGAACGCATGCGACACTACAAGGAAAATTGCGGCACGGTAATATCTTGCGCCGGAGAAGCGAGGGACCGACAGTTATTCTGGATCCAAATTTGACTCAGAACAAGACGCAGCGAAGAGCATTCGGTTTAGCATTCAGTAAAGGCGTCCTATGGGATCTATACTGCGTTAGCAGCAAGACATATGTGTTAATTAGACAAATTTCAACACGACCATACGAACACACTAAACATCAGAATGATACTCAATTCCTATCTACTTAGTTCAACCCCTACCCTCCCCCAATTGTTTCACTTCGCCGCTGCCTTCGTCGTCGTGACCGTACTAACAGCCGTAGTCGTCGTCGTAGTCCCGCTGCTCACCGTCCTCGTCACCGTCGTTCTAGCCGGGCCACTAGTGATAAGGCACGAGCATGCAGACGAGACACCCGCATTACCCAGGCCAAGTGAGATACCAATGCCGCCGGGCAAGCCGATCGAGATGTTGAGTTGAGGGGAGCGCTTGCGAATGGGGATCTCGGAGGGGCAAGAGGAATCGTAGAAGGTGTATGGGGATGTTGGGTTGAGGTTTGTGTTCTCGGAGCTAAAGCGGCGGGAGTTAGCGATAGTAGTAGTGGAGGGGGAATGAGGAGGGGATACGTACACAGTCACATCGAAGAGCATGCAGTTTGCTTCTCCGTAGCCGAAGCTCTTGCATTTGGAATCAGCTTTGCAGAGGGCGCTGCAGGCGTCGAAGGTATTCTTTGTGCCGCTTGATTCGAAGTAGTACGCTGGGGTTACTTTGACGTAGGCTGCGATACCGCAGCTGGGTGGTGCGGTGGGTGTGCTATGGGCTCGTTAGTAACTTATGGTTACTTAGTAGAATAGGAAATGGATGCTTACGGAGAAGGACTCGACACAAGAGTCGAGGAGACTAGCGTAGAGGATGGTGTTGTGGAAGAGGGAATAGATGATGACGATGGCGGTATCCGGGTAGAAGATGAAGATGGAGGTACAGGAGTAGAAGAAGTCGGCTTGGAAGTCGGTGTAGGAGTTGGTGTTGGCGTCGGCTTAGGGGTGGCTGAAGGCGAAATCGTCACCGTGGTCGTGGTCGTGGCCGTCGTAGTCGTCGTCCTCGTGAATCCATTGGTCACAGTAGTGGTGGCCGTTCCTGACTTCAAAATATTGGAACAGAAAAGCAATGCTTCGGACGTGCGGCCTTCGAATGCGTCCAGCCCACACTGACTGACTGTTCATGTTGTTAGCAGTGAGCTTTTTCTGAGAAATGACTCTTCTTACCGTCGGGAATTCCAGCTTGCCTCTTTCCACGGACTGCCGCTTCAGCTGTTGCAGCAAATACTGCAGCGAGGATTGAGACCTTCATGTTGATGGTTTACAGGCCTCAAGTGGTAGTAAGGTCTTTCACAAAGTGCCGAGCTCTCAACTGGTGCCGGATAGTGATCTTTGACCAGAAAGATCAATACTTATAATAGATCCAGAGACGCCTACCTTTTCTCATACTGCGTAGTGTAAATATAGTCAAAAAGTATGCAGCATTGTGGGTTCCAATATGAAATAAATGAACGGCTGGGCTCTTGGGCTTCTAAATTTTCGGTCAAAGCACCTCGGCTCAGAAGAACAAACTACTATTCTTGACAAGAGTAGTTAATGAACACGAAGCAATTGACCGCCACCCGCCGGGAGATATTGTGGAGCATGACCATCGTACAGAAGCTTGCTCTGGTTCCTGCAGCTAGCAATATAGCTGTACCGGCTGTATGGTCGAGCGATATGGTGGCCAATTAGCCAAACACGAGAAATTGAACATGGAATCTGGAAGACTTTGGGGAAATATGCATATACTAGAAAGCGGCTGGCGTTGCCGTGAACAGGTACATTATCCCTACAGATCCCGGTTCCGGCAAAATCCAAGTGCAGGTGCACTACGACAAAAACAGCCAAGATTTATTTTTTGTTCCAGATACAGCTGAAGCCAGCGCGATCACTTCCGGAAATCATCCCTTCATCTTGGCTGATCTGTATTGTACATGGTCCAGACGATTCGAAGACCCACAGGTAAGTAGGCCCCTGCAGCCTGGCGCTTAGCTGCCAAGTACATGTCTGGACAACGGAATAGGCTCTGAAATACAGCAGAGCTACTCACGGCGGACGGTGAACCAAAGCACTCTGGTATGATCTGAGAACCTAAAATGCCCTTCGGCGAGTTTTGTCATCCGGGTCTCAACTGTGAGCTTGACACCAAATTCCTTTCCTATCTTCTCCCACATCTCCCTGAAGCTCTCTGGGTTATGCCGAAACATCTTCCCTACTGGTGAGGGTCCTTCCCCAGCTTCTAGGTCTCCAATCTGTGAACCGACGATCATCGAACCTGGCCGAGGCCGCAGCAATTCAAAAACAGCTTTGCAGACTACGATCTGTGTTTCGTAGCCCCATAGATGGAAGAACTTGCCCGCCTGGATAATATCAAAATACCCCTTGTACTCTACAAGCGCGGAATCAGGATCAAAAATATCTGCCGTGATAAACTTGGTTGCAAGTTTGTCCCGATCCTGGAAAAGCTTGTATCCCAATTCGATGAAGTCGGCTTGGAGGTCGCAACCGACAATGTTCTCGGCTGGCGCCCCGGCATGCACCAGCTCACGTATTGTATGGCCGAAGCAACACGCCATATCTAGCAGTTTTTCACCGTTGCGCACGCGTTGTATTATCTCATCGAACCCCTTGGAAGGCTTTGTAAAGCTGCGATCGACAAATCGAAATTGACCGATACATGGATACGGATAGACTTTCCAAGCTTCATCACGGATTTTCATGATGTGGTTGAGGACTTGGTCCCGCGGAATGCCGCTGTAGCCTATGAGGACCTCGCGGATTTCCGGCGCTACATTGTCCTCGGTCGCATTTGGCACGTACCAGGCAGGCATCTGGGGTGGAGTGTCTTCAGACTGAGTCATGACGAAGGCAGTGGCTTTACAATGAAGCAAATGATGAGGATGAACGGTTTCAATTGTTTTCTGGGCTATAGGTCATTCAAACGAACTCACTGCTCTTAGATACTTATGTGTGGCCTACCATGGCGGGAGGACCGCCGCCGAGAAAGCACCGCAAGCAAATGACGGGACCCAAACGTCGCCTTAGCGCGTGATAATTAGTCAAAACAAACTTTCCGGTCAGTCCGCTCTCTTCGGCAGTCAGCATTCACGATATGCGTCTTGACAGAAAAGCGAAAGAGATGCGACTGCCGCAGTTTTGGCTTGGTGTGCGGTCAACTTACGTACCAAGATCGCCGTGGTTGATCTATGAGTTTGTATGCAGCATTAAGTTCGGCAACCGCTGTTATCAATTTACAATGTTGAAAATGTAGTGTAGATACACCAATATTAACAAGTGATATCGCTACAAGGTTGTGGTCGAAAAGGGTCCGACCCGCATGTCGAACTGTGGTTGAGATAGGCTCTCCATTGTTCCTCACTCCGACGACTAGAGAGTTGGGCGAATCTCGTAGCACAGAAATCCATTGCCAAAAACATATCCCTCGTATCTACATGCTTGCAACAATGTTCTTGATTAAGCTTCACAATGCTTTACCACCATCTATACAACACCGCAGTCCTGACTCTCCATAAAATCCCCAATCTGTAAACATACTACTTACTCAAATCACTTCGAATAGAAGGGAAAAACTAGAGTCACACTTTTTATCTCCCTCCCAGTGTTCAAATGCTACTTCGCCATCTCCTTTCCGTACCCAGGCACATCCACCATACACTTCTTCCTCGGCGCCCCTTCATACTCCCCATCCCACCACCCCGCATCTTGACACCAAAACCATCCTTTCGACCTGATAAGTTTGCTTTGTACCGGTATATCAGCGGTATAACTGCGCAGAACAAGTCGCATGATACAAAGGTAAAACATCAAGAAAAGCAAGACGGTACAGATGGTCAGGATACAGTCTGGATACCGACATATTCTGCATTCAACCCTAGTGCGATACTCTTGATACCTGTTTCACAGTCTGGTGATACGGAAGTAGTGGAATTGGAAAAAATTTGAAAGGATACGGGGAAGGAGGAAGACTTGGATCTGGGGGTACGGGAAGATGTTTTTGAAAGTTCAGTGTGGATTGCTTTCCGGAGGTTTTTGTAGGGGTTGGGCGATAATGAAGGGAAGTAAAAGGGGTTGAAAGAATGAGGATGGGTTATTAAGTTTGTCGCAAGTGTTGATATGGGTTCATATTCCTAAGAGGAGATGTGTGTTTCAAAAGGAGAAGATTTGGGGTCCTGAAAGGAAGGGCTATGGGACTGAATTTGGAAAGCAATAACTGTAGCAAGCCATTGAGACGGAACAACGTGTTTGTGAACCGTGGTTCCTCTGAAGTCTTCCACAAATCTTCGATTACGCATATATCAGGAGTAAGAATTTCCTTTCATCTTCCATGCACTACATATTCCACCAATTGTATACATACGAACCCCATCCCTCTTCCCTTTTCATTAACATGCCCCGTACGCTAAAACCCAAGCCAACAGTGCCTTCGGAAGACTCTTCGCTCGTCGCGCCACAAACACCCAGCTCGACCATAAATCGGAGAGACCCAGCCCCAAGGTCAGGACCCATATCCAAGACATTTAATCTCCTCCCCCGCAACCCACGTACCATACGCAAGCTCTACAAGATCAAAGCCCCTCGTAGAATACCTTCATCGTCAACTAAGAAGAAGTCAAAGTTTTCAAGTACTGAGGGTACTGAGGGTACTGGGGATACTGGGGGTACTGCGGCGGAGACTTACACGTTAGAGCCCTCGCAACAGGAAAGTGTAAGTGCTTCACCATGGTCCACCCATTACTCCGCCATAAGTGAGCTAACCACCACGGAGTCTGAGGCCAATAGTAATACCGAGACGGTGGACGAGGATGCTGAAAAACTGTGGTCAGCACATATTATGGGAGAGCATGTTGGGAGGGATCGATATGAGTTGGTGAGTAAACGGTATCTTGATGCTGGGTTGCCACCACCGTGGAAGCGGTGCCCATGGTGTGAGGAAACTATTGAATGGCTGTTGGGGAAGGGGGTTATTTGAGGACGGCTTGAGAAAGTGATTGCCTAAGTTTCTTTGGTTGCGGGTTCATCGTTAGTAGTTCCTAGTATGAAGGTCTGTTTATAAAGAGGAGAAGAATCTCTCCTGCAAACACCAAAAACCCAACATCGTAGATTTTGAAGCCAAATTTAGCATTAATCCTAACTCTTTTTGACGCACGGATGGTAGGAAGGAGTTTTTGATTTTTGGTGCCACACTAGCTTTCTTGTTATTTTCTCCTTACTGGACTCGTGGATCAATTCTATAGACAAAAATACCTGTATTTTGCTACTCCAGATGGACAATGGAAGTCAATGCAACAACTGCTAATAAAGAGGAGAAAGAAGACTCATTTAGTATAGTACACGCTTACATCTGATATATTGAATTTCTTGTGAAAGTTCTATTAGGGTGCTGTTGCGGGCTGTTCTAGTGGAGAAGGAGCATGGCCTCATTAAAAGCTAGGGCTCCCTAATAAGCATTCACGTCCTTGTCTTCGGTATTTTTCCATTTTGACTTCCAGCTCTCTTTGCTCTGCCCCGGTAAGCAGCGTAGAGTGATGTGTTATCACCAGTGAACATGGATCCCTATGTTCATTGGATAAGATGATGGGAACATCCGATTCGAGATATATCAGGATACGGATTCATAGCTTGACTACTGTTTCTTTTTCTCTTGTACAATGTTGCTTTGTGTTGGCTTCTGTTTAGTGTCGTCTATGATGATACTGAGGATACCAGCGTTGACGAGAAAGAAGAGAATGCTAGACAACCAAAGCCCTGGTAAAAACGTTGAATGACCGTTGAACTCAAGTTGAAAGCCTTGTTGAAGCCAGGCGGCTTGGCCAACAATCCAAGCAACAATAGCAGCAATGCCAATAGGGGCTGATTGTAGCAATGTTGATTGTGGAAGGTAGTATGGGAGGAACATCATGTACCAGAGAAAGTACTGGAAAAATCAGTGTCTTAGCGAGATTCCAGATGCCTCACATGACTTACTTGACTTGTGCAAACCTTGTTAAAAGTGACAAATGCAAAGGTTTGCGCTAGCATCGTGTTTGGTAGATCCTTTTTCGCCAACGCAAGTGGGATGAAAACAGCACTGAGCAGCAGCTGCGGAAGGAATGCGAGCCGCTCCAGCTCGAAGGATGCTGAACGTAATTCTAGGCCCGATGCATTTGGCGAAGAATTGAGATACAATAATGTGTTGTATGGCGAGAAGTTGTGGCGATGATCACTACGGATCAAGTGATAGAGATAGCTATGCTCAAGGAACGGCCAACCGTACATCTGGTACATGGCAAGGTTCAAGACTGTAAAAGTGATGAGACTGTAAAAGGCCAAGGACAACCTAGGCAGAGTAATGAAGGCTTGAATCTGACCAAACAGTGATCGTGAAGGTTGCGAAGCGACCGATTTCGTGGATCGGAATTGGGTCTCGTCAAGAAACCAGACGATCGAGACGGCGTAGATGAATGGGTATATCTTGAAATGGACCGCGAATCCTAATAAGAAACCAGCCAGTGGTACCTTTTTTGCTAACACTGCCCATAGGAGTGCGGTGACAAACACTCCAAGCAGTCCTTCGGAGCTACCCCTTGTGCTTATGGTAGCTACCATAGGGTTTAGTAGCCAAATGCTTGCAAATTTCAGTGCTCTCTCGTCTCCCATTTTCTTGTACTCCTTCAAGATTCGGAACATCATCCATCCAGTAGCCACATCTCCAACAGCGAAGAGAATCTTTCCGAAAGAAAACCAGAATTTTCCGGACCATACAGTAGGATAGATAAGCCATGCCAAGAGGGGCGTATAGCGATACGTGTCTCTGGCGTATGGCGGTTGGCCCCGCGAGATGTAACGTGCAGCATCAGTAAAGACATAGTAGTCGATATCTGTGTACTTCATTGGTGAATTTGCATCTTGCCACAAACCATAAATGAGGAAGACAGCGCGCAAGACAATAGAAGTTGTGAAGACCAAAATAGGACTGCGGAAAAAGGAGGAAAGAGCCATTGTGTCATTGAAGGGCACAGAACCAGCACAGTCTCAAAGGAAAAACACAAGACAGAAAGAGGGTGTAGGAAGCAACGATTGAAGAGTACGTGGATTGGCCAAGTGCAAGGGGAAAGGAGATGGTGGCTTTCGCAGCATGCAGGAGCAGTCGCATAGATCTAGTCTACAAGAGGAATAGCTCCCACGTGATAACGTGCACTAGTGCATAGTCTCAGCGTTTGCTCGACGTCGATTACAAGGCATTACCCAGGCAGACCAATGGGGCTCAAACGACCAAGAGACGGAAATATGGCGGACGAAAAGCCAGAACAATCGGCATCACCTTTTGTGGGCATGTTCGAAGGGTTCCGTGCAGAGCTGGACGAGCATCATGATCGTCGAGAAAGGATCATCAAAGCATCGCGCGACATTACCGCGTCAAGCAAAAAGATGTATTGGACTTTTTAAGAAAATTCGACTCAGCAACTAACATTTCAACAGCATCTTCACCCTTCAGAGGTGAGCTGCCTTCCATCACAATCCCCGTATAATCATCTGACCAGACTAGGGTCCGGGCTGTTGGCCAAGCATTACCACCCTGGGTCACTAAGAAGAATGCTGAGTACTGGGAAGCTATTCAGGATCGATACAAGAGCATTGCTGCCGATCTTCAAGGACTCAATGCCTATCGATACTCTCATAACATCACAGGCGGAAATCAAGAGTTCATGGAAGCACTCAGTTTCCAACATTACCTGGAAACCCAGTCACTCATTTCATACGATGAAGCAAAATCACGGATTGCTAGCATGAGCGGTGAAGCGGGACCCATTGCTTTTACCCCAGAAGACTACATCTTGGGTGTGTGTGACATGACTGGCGAGCTCATGCGCTTCGCTGTCACAAGCATGGCTACCAGTGGAAAACTCCCATCCGGCAAACAGGCGGAGTCAAACAAGAGGCTGAAGCAAGAGAACGACCAGGAAGACGGCGGTGACAAGATGGAGATTGATGAACAGACGCCAGCTGCAAGTGAGACGCAGAAACCACGGACTGTCCTGGACGACTTGAGGGCGGTTCGGCTGCAGCTCGAGATGTTTGAGGTGCCTGGGGGGTCCAAATTTGCATCTGAGCTGGAGACGAAGAAAATGCCTGTAATGCGGGAGTGTGTAGACAAGGTTGAGAAAGGGCTGTATGGGCTCACAGTGCGTGGAAACGAGCGTCCCAAAGGCTGGATGCCAGACATGAGCAGTGGCAGGGGCAACGAGGTGGAGAGCTACTGAGCAAGCATGAGTGAAATAAGGCGGGCTTTACTGTATTTTGGCCAGCCTAGCAACTAAGTAGTATGTACTGCAAGGTCGAGGAATGGAATGCTGCGTGAACTGTGGCTGTGTGGCGCAACCCCCACTTGGCGTGAGCACCTCATCGCTGGGGGAATGCGGGCCCGAACTTCACTTGCCCAACCGCCGTGACAGTAACACACCAACGCAACGACTATGAAGGGCTGCGTCATTCCTCAGCCTGACTCATTTCCTCGCGCGCTGCCCCAACCCAGCGCGACTACAATGCCCACGCCTTGAAACACTGCGCCACGACGAATGGATTGTTGCTCCGCCCAGCAAAGCCGCCGCCGATAATAACAGCGCAAGCCGCACCCGTGGTTCCCAACCCAGACGCAGCAATCAATATCCGCCCTCGCCCGCCCACCATCACATTTCCCATCGTTGTGACAAGTTTCCCCATCGCCACCACGGCACCCGCGCCACCATGCGCCGAAGCACTTTTCCCTCCCGGCCCAGCAAGCCCGATACGGCCATGCGCGCCCCCGAGCCGCCCAGGCGCAAGGTATTCAACTGCATCGTCGACGACACTGCCCTTATCGCCGGCGTCAAGAAGAGCACGCGCGACGGCATCCGCAAGTGGATTTCCCAGGACGCCATCCGCCTCTTTGTCCCGCTGCACAGTAGGCGATCACAGAATTGCCGCTTCCCTGTCCCCCCGCTAACATGAGAATAAAGCCCTCACCCAGCTCCATCGCCTCAAGAATGGCACCGAGCGCATCAACGCCGACGCGCGCGAAGCCGTCAAATGGCTCGATGAAGTCACGTCCAACGAGGCCGCAAGCCGCGTCCAGCTCGAAGGCGCCGACGAAGCTTACAGCACCTGGGCCGAGGTGGAGCATTTCCTACTCCCCGAGACCCTGCTCTCCATGGAAGACAGCGAGTCGGACGACGATGACTACCACGAAGACCTAGAGAGCTCCTTCAACGCCCTTGACATGTCCGACGAGACATCCATGAGTTCGACTCACAGCTTCGACGACATGTCAAAGACGCTCGAGTCCCCGCGCTCCTTCTCCAGCAGGAGCACCAAGCCCGCCAACCGAGCCACGCACGCCGACAAGGCTGCCGCTTTGATCGGGGGCTCCCCGGACCGTACCGCTCGTAACAGCACCGGCGGCGCCCGTTCTGGGAAGGCGACCAAGGGCCCCGTGCCCATCTACCTCCAGCCACTCTTCAATCACATCCTATGGCGCATCAACAAGGAAGGAAACCCAGATGCGGCCCTCGAGTCCTTCATTCTCCTCACAAACGACCCTGCGAAGCAGGCAATCGCCCAGAAATTCGGCATCCGCGCTAAGCGCCTCGAACAGCTACGGGATGCGGTTGCTCGTGAAGATCGTGAATACAAGAACCATTTGACCATTCACAAACTCGAGGTCGAAGCCAGTGCTGCTAAGGGCAACAACTCAGGCGCGTCTAAAGCAGCGGAGCGACCCAAATCCAGTCCCGCACAAGAGACTAAGCCCGAGGAAACATCGGACGATGAGGATGAGGTTCTCTTCAAGCGCGCCCCTCGAGGTCCAGCAGCTACCAATAGCCCCAACCCACGTGTTTTCGATCCCAACGACTTCGCGCGTACAACCCAGCAGCAATCCCCTCGTGGTGGACGCGGTGGGCATGGATCGCCTCGCGGTCGCGGCGCTGCACCCTTTCGAGGCCGTGGTAACTTTGCTCCGCGGGGTGCGTACGTTCCCCCAGGCCCGACTTTCCGAGCCCCACCAGCTCCTCGTCATGACCCCAACGCACCACTCGACCCCGACTCATTCTCTCGTCCAGCTCCCAAAGTAGGCCCAGTCCGGGGCGGTAACAGACGAAAACTATGGGAGCCGAATTAGATGTACGGGAATAAGCGTCAACAGAGACGCAATATTCACCACTCCCATTACCACCATGAGCGTTTGAACTGGAATGCTACATATGACCGAGAAATAAGGCATCAGCACACATAAGGCATTGAGTAGGGTCAGCCCCTGTATTGTACAGTGGTCGAAGAAAGTCCCCTTGACATAATAACGTGCGATGATCGACCAACATGTTGCGATCACGATCTCGGGCTACTGGTTCTCATGGAGCACGGCTGTTTCTTCAAGACCTAATCGCCGGTCAACCCGCAACAAATTGTCGCGATGCCTCTTCGACTGACTTGGGCTCGACCATCGAAATTTCATCCACGACCCTTGACACTGGTTCGAGTACGCGTACCACCCCTGTGCGGGGAATACGTGTTTCTTGTCTTCGCGTCTTATTTCTTTTCCTTTTTCTTCATCATTGATCTTCGACTAAATTGAAACTATCAGAGTTAGGTATACGACGTGGGGGGAGGAAGGGGAGAAAGTTTCTTTGTATTTGTTCTTTGTATGGCTTTTTTATGGACCTTTTGCTGATTCGGTATGCTGTGAAGGAGATACATACAAAGGTAGTATTTCTACGGAGTATTGTCGAATCTTCTATAGCTATGATTCATAGAAATACATCTATTTTGCGTTTTCTTGAATCATTTTGTGTGTGGCGCTGGATGAAACAGTGAATGAACATTCTCTTACTACGTATGTCTGCGAGATGCTGCTATGAACAGAAAAGGGACAGATGAGACTATGAAAATTTTCAACGCCGAACAGACATGCATTTCAAACAGAACCTTTTTACCTTGAGCATTTCAGAAAAACAAGACTTTAAACCACCACACCACACACTACTACACTACCTCCCCTCTCAACGCTCTCCCCAAAGCCGATCCCCTCTTCCGCTTCAACTCCTGAAAACTCCCTTGCTCAACCACCCTCCCCTGCTCCATCACAACAACATGATCCGCAACCGCCATCATCTCCCTCGCATGCGTAATAACAACAACCGTCATACACTTCCTCTCCTCCTTCCCCTTATCCAGACCACTGAACGACGTCGAACTCGCACCCGGTTCACTGTTCCGCACATAGTACTCGGATAACCCAGCAGACCCTGAACCCATAGTACCACTACTACTAGCAGGACTGACGCGTTTCCGCCCTACAAGCCGCACCACGGTCTCGCGAATCACGTTCATGGACGAAACGTCCAGCGCGCTGGTTGCCTCGTCGAGAATCAAGACGTCGGGGTTGCGCACGAGGGCGCGCGCAATGGCGAGACGCTGGGTTTGGCCGCCGGATAGCGTGGTGCCGCCGGTGCCAACGAGGGTATTGTAGCCGTTTGCTAGACTATCTATGAAGTCGGAGAGACCTGCTGCGTGGGCTGCTGCGCGGATGGATGCCGGGCTGGTTTCCGCGGCGGAAGGAGATAGGCCGTATGTTATGTTTTGGGCGATTGTGCCTGGGAAGAGGACGGGGGATTGGGGGACGAGGGCTATGCGGGAGCGGAGGGAGGGGGTGGATAGAGTGGAAATGTTTTGCGAGGAGAGCCAGAGCCCGTTTTTGGGGGTTGTAGTGTCGGTGTCTGGCTGGTAGAGTTTGAGGAGGAGGGAGCCGATTGTGGATTTTCCTGAGCCAGAGGATCCGACGATGGCGGTGCAGGTGCCGTGGGGGATGGAGAAGGTGAGGTTGTGGATGATGCGGGTGTCTTTGCGGGATGGGTATGTGAAGTTTACGTTTTTGAAGCTGATGTCCGTGATGGATTGGATTGGTAGGTTTCCTGCTGCTTCGTGGGAGTCGGTAGAAAGTCGTGCAAGGCGGAGTAGTCGTGTGCTGGCGTCTCTTGAGATGTTGATCTGAGTGATATACTGGGCCAGTGAACTGATGTAGTTGACGCTCAGCATGAGTATCAAGAAGCATTCCATGACTTTGTTCGCGGTATACTCGTTCCTCGACATGAGTAGTGCGCCATACCAGTACAGGAGAATAGCCACAAATATGACGCCGGTAAATGCTAGACCAAAGATGGAGCCAGAGTAGAGGGCGCGTTTCATACCCAGCTTGGCTGCCTCGGTCGTTGCATAGCGATACTTCTTCCGAAAATGGCTCTCTAGTCCCAGACATCGGACTGTTTTAATATTCACAAACGTCTCGTGCAGTACCTCTCCTACTTTGTCTTCGGCCTCGCTAGAAAGCTTCTCCCAGTGATTGCTGACCATGTTGTTACACTTTGTGATTGTAAAGAGAATAGGGCCCGTCGCAAGTGCTACAAGTGCTAATTTCCATGAAATAGCCATACTCCATGAGATGGAGATTGATACCATAAGTACCATGGCAAGGAATATGCAGGCGAACCTTCCGGGTAGATTCCTTGCTTCCTCGGCAAAGTAGTCAAGCGTTTCGGTCAGGCGAGATGTGCTGTTCTCTTCCTTGTCAAAGAATTCGCGCGGTTGTAGCAGGATCCGACGCAGGGCTTCTCTTTTAAGTGATAAGCTCCAGGCTTGTGCTACCACGTCTGATAGGAAGAACATGAAGTATTTTGAGAGACCGTCGGCAGTAGCGATACCAAGGATTGCGAGGGCGTAGTCACGCGCTTTATTGTGGCTTTGAGAGGCAGACTCTTGAAATGTACCGAGAAGTCGTGCGAAGACCCAGGCAAAGACTGGGGTACAGACCGAGTGAATGATGGTGCACATGAGAGCACCAAAGATAAGTATGCGGGAGCGCCAAGTTATTGCGGGCCAGACTGATGCGAGGATTTCTTCTATGGAAAGCGAGTCTGTTGAGCTGGGAGGTTTGCCTGACGTATTCTTCTTGTAACGTGAGAGCCGGAGTCGAGAGAGAATACGATCACGCTTTCGTTGCTGTTTTGGTCGCATTGGCTGTGCAGGCATCGGGTTGGATATTGAAAGACGCTTCGGATAATTGCTAGTAGGCGATGTATATTCTACTAGTAGTATGGAGTCTGGTCGTAATCCGACTTCTTTTGGAAGATGAGCTTTCCACTCATCTGTATCAAACCTTGGAAGCCGCTCCAGTGCCACATCTCCCGATCCTAGGTCGATCTCTTTTGTCAAAAAAGATCCTGCATCTGGCAAACTTTTGTGACGAGTTGATCCTTGGGAACTTCGCCACCCAGTAAACGAATGTTGAATTGTTTGTGTGCCATATCTCGGTGACCGACTCGTTTTAGTATCATATTCTGCGCATCCATCGTCATCAGCATCACTAAAATGATGCTCCTCTTGCTCTTCATGTGACTCAATGAAGGTTTGAAATAATCCTCCTTGAGCTTCAAGCTCCTTTCTATATCCCTTTTGTACCACTCGGCCATCTCCCAACAGGTAAAGGAAGTCGTCAGAACGAATCTGCGAGATATCATGGGTAAAAATAATTGTCGTCTTTCCCTTGCGCCATTCTCGTATTGCTTCGTATATACCAGCTCTTGTAGCACAGTCGAGCCCACTGGTGGACTCGTCCAAGATCAGGACGGACGAATCCCTGATCTTTGCTCGTGCTAGTGCCAATCTTTGCCTCTGACCACCACTCATGGAATCGCCCTTTAAGCCGAGTTCAGTGTTCAGTCCGTCAGAGAGCCCTTTTACAACTAGGTCCAGTTTTGCGAATCTGACAGCGTCGAGGATGTCTTGCATATGCAGTGTCTCACCTGTTTCCCCTAAAGCGATGTTGCCATGGATAGTGTCGTTGAATAGTACACTATGCTGCTCCACAAGTGTAATATTCTTTCGTAACCATTTTATATCCAATTGCTCAACTGGGACACCATCAAGGAGTACCTGGCCAGATGAGGGGTGGTAAAAGCGCACAAGAAGCTGACCTAGGGTACTCTTGCCAGAGCCGCTCCTTCCGATGACGAAAGTTGTTTCTCCGGCTGGCATGAACAGCGAGATATCACGAATCGCTACATCCTCTTTGCGAGAAGGATAAGAAAAATCGACCTATTCTATCAGCGGGTTTCAAAGATAAGGCGAAACAGGCATACCTTTCTGAATTCAATGGTGCCAGGACATCGAGCAGGCTTGATATGACCTTGCAATTCCAGCTCCTGGTGGGAGGTGGGTTTATGTTCCATGAGCATGGCCAGATTGGCACCTGCCTCCCGGCCCTTGGTTAAGACTACCAATTGGGGCATCACTGATGCCAAGGAGGATGTCGCCATGAGGACTGACCAGAAGGTAGTTAGAATGTCTGCTGCTCCACCATCTCCATTACCAACTAGGTATTTGCCGTACCAGAAGCCTTGGACGAATATGCTGATGGTGAAGAACTGCATGATGCCAATTTGCATTGATCGGAAGTTTGCTACCCGTCTATAGAGGCGTGCTGCAAGACCGGCGGTCTTTTCGAAAATCTGAAGCTCGTATCGTTCCCCATTAAGACTCTTAACTGCCTCAATATTGGATATTGCTGTTGTCATGTACTTTATTGTCGCTTGGAGCATTTCGGACTGTTCGCGTGTTCGAATCAATTGTCGGTTCGCAACCAGTGTCAGAAACAAGTAGAGAAACGGGATACTGCTCATAACAACTAGTGCTAGCTTCCAAGAAAAGTAGAAAGCGACTCCCAGAGCTGCAAGGCTCTGAACGACTGCTTGACAGAATTCGCCTAATGGTGATGATACTGAGAGCTTCAAGCCACGGATCTGCCTGCATTTTGTCAGCTGAAATGAGCAGTGTTCAGGTTCCGGCTAGTCACTTACGCCTGCACTGTCGACAGAACTGCAGCAGTGCCCGTTTCGCGCGTGTCAAACCACGCCATGTCTTTTTTGATGAGCGCGTCAAATATCCGATTACGGGCGCTCCGCGCCTGGAGCTCACCGAATGTAAGGAAGCAAAAATACTGGAAACTGTTCGCGATCCAGTTGAGTGTGCAGATGCCTGCAAGTATGATACAATATTTCGTCATGTTACTCATGAGCGCATGGCTATCAGTCAACCCAGCGCCATAAATGGTGTACTGCCCGAAGATAAGCCCATAGAGAACTGCGAAGGCAGGCATTGTAAGAGCGGCAACGGTTGTCGATAGAAGGCCACATAGTACTACCGGCACATGGCGTGTTGTGGTGAAGCCAAACAGAACCTTCCAGCCGACTTTTAACATGTGTTTTTGCTCCTCAGATGCCTGTGCGTTTGTTGTCTCATGGCTATCGGTACCATGCGAAGGTGCGGTGGTAGCCATATTGCCTGCTCGGAGGCTGCGATTGTGTTGAGAAAGTGGGGGGCGTGGTTAAGATTGACGCGCAGAGCCACACATGGATGAGATTGCGACAACAAGTGAAAGTGAGGGCGCAGGAGTGCGTTGGGTCCAATTGGAACCTAAGCCTGGTGAGTACAGGGGCTGCTTCTGTCTGTTTGCAGCTTGCACGAAGCACTCCGTTTTAGACGTCGTATTGTACCCGCCCTTGTGATATCTTGATCAGAGGCGACAAAGGTATCAGCTCACTTTCCAGATCACTACCATAGACTATTGTCCTGGAGTCAGCCGCATTTTTGGTCCGGAATTTCTAAATTTGGAATGAACGACTGATATTGTACGAGTATTTTCAGCCGCGCCCCAGCGGCAAATTTTTTAAGTAATGAATTCCATTCACACTCATTCCCTGTGAAACAAGGATATCGAGTAATCCAACAATGTAAGCAGTTTGCAATGCTGCGTAATCTGGGTTCCAAGCCGAGGATTTGTGAATAGAAACGGCAAAACTCTCATTTCTCCATGCACCGAAGATCAAATTCCTTTTGGATGTTCAGTGTTGGGCTGTTACACAGAGAAAATGATATGATATACTGAGACTGCACTTCCTAGGCGCAAGGGATTACCACGTGCGATCTAGCGTGTAGTTGGAAGGGCGTTTTGAACTAGTTGCTTTCACATTGCGCGCTGACACTCCTTAATATTGTTCTCTGCGCATAATGGCGTGGTCATATGAAACCACGGTACTCTGAATTCTTCGTCCTGTCACTACTATGGTATTGTTGAACTTGTTACTTGCCACCCAAAACACATTTTTGTGATATGCAAACAATGCTAAATTGAAAATCAGGTGCAGCGACTTGGTGAGCATGCTTTTGTGACATGTGTGAGCAGAATCAAGTAACTGCACATGAAGCGGCTTTGATGTAGCCTCAACACGTTCGAGCATCTCGGACGATTTGCCGACGTCAACGATCGCTTGTTCAGGAATAGGTGTAGACAAAGAAAGAACCAACTTTCTGATTGGTTTGGTCGAAGGCTAGACCAGCCGCAGGTTGCATGTAGCTAGTGCAGGTGCACGTTTGAACTCCCTGCAGATGGGGTTGGGTATCTATATCGTGCAAACTGTTATATTTGAATTATTTTCCCTGTGCCTTCTCGTAGATCCAGTCGTTCAAGCCTTCGCGGTTGCTGTTCAAATCAGTACTGATTGGGATTTTACAGGCGGGGCAAACTGACCGTGCGATTTCGATGGCGTAGAACTGCATGCGAACAGCGAATATGGTGCCTTCTTGGTCGTACTCGGTCTTGGGGCTTGCGCGGAGCATGGTGCCGAAGTTGTAGTCCTCGACCTTGTGCTCGTACTCGCTGATGAACTTGCGCCACCGCTCCTTGCCCTCCTTGCTCTTCATCTCATCCTCATTCAATGTGGCGGAGGCGTCGAACTCGGGGAAGTCCTTCTTAAGGTGTTCGTAGATTTCATCGTCGATCTTCGTCAGTCGCAGTTTGGAACCTGGGACTTTTTCAAGGATCTTCCAGTATGTCTCCATGTGCTGCACAACTGCGCATTCGTGTTAGAAGGAGTCGTGTTCAATGTGCGTAGCTTGCTGTACCTTTGACGGCGAACTGCTTCTCAATCTATGCCTTTGTTAGTCGGTCTGCACCGGCTTTCGCGCTGAGGTGCCCGCCCCACGTACCTCCTCGAAGTTCTCCGTCTCTTCCGGGTTGATGGTTGTGCCTGCTGGACCTGCTAGAGCCATTTTGACGGATTATGCGCGAATATCGGTGTGGTGGTGAGTGCAAATAAAAAGATGGGTGGTTGTGGTGTGAGCTGTGTGCCGCCACTTAGGCGCATAGAATAGCATGGACAAAAAATCCCAGAAACGCTTCGTCATTGCCCCGCCTTGCACTCGCAACGGAAGTCGCGCGGGGCTGACTCAACCCCAAATTTCCATCTGCCATACTCTCGCACCTCACGTGTCGCCCTTCGTCGCCAATGTCACCGACTCTGCATGTGAGAGCGCATCGAAAAAGCCTAGACTGCTACTGATCAAAGCAGCATGAATGCACTCGCGTACCCGTGACCGCATTGGCCTCGTGTGGTTCCCTATACATTGCCGCAGAAGGCCCATTTCTGCGCTTCTATCATGCCAAGAACTCACGATGCATTGCTTCGCAGCGCGTCTTCAAGGCGCAGGCAGTGCACGGTATACGCATCTATTCGGAAGAGCATGCGCGTCTCATCAAGCTCATCACCTGGGGAGGGCGACTAGTCCGTGCCGTCGAGATCTATTCGGTGACTGATGATCATGATTGCTTGACTTTTTTTTCATCCAACGTTGCTAAAGCGCCAGACTGGATTTTTGATCTTGCACCTAGACCAGCAAGTTTGACTGATGACACGCCGTATCAAAAAGGAATTTGTGTTGCTGTTACCGCTCATAATGCTCTGCTACAGGTGACAGTCCAGAAAAACACAGATACAGCGACGGCAGACAGGTGCGCATCCCTGACGCTATCTTGGCTCAATCGGGATACATTCACTGACATACTTTTCTCAGACCGATCTCAGTCAATATCTCAGGCTTGACATCGAGTTCTCGATCTATCCTTTACTCTGCGCACCTGTTCTGGGAAAATCTGAATCGGGTCCTTGTCGCTGCTGGCACGGCATTTGGCGAGATCATTTATTGGTCATGGTCTGATGACAATGTTGACGGCCAGGCATCTCTTATCCACCGCGTGTTTCTCGGTCACGAAGGATCCATCTTTGGTGTACGTATTTCTGAGGAGCTCCCAACCGAGTGCTGCCAGAAATTGAGGCGAGTGGTCGCAAGTTGCAGTGATGATCGAACGATTCGCGTATGGGATGTCTCAGATGTTAATACGAATGCTACCACTCCAAAAGCTGAGGATAATGAGGCTGAAGTATCAAGGACGCGTCATACTGGCTTCAGCAACGAGGCTTTTGACGCCCACGAGTTTGGCAGTTCAGATTGTCTAGCCATCGGTTGGGGACATCTTTCCCGTGTCTGGACAATACGCTTTCTCGAAACATCGCCCTGTAGTGGGTCGCTTTTACTTCAATCAGCCGGAGAAGACGCCACAGCAAGGACTTGGGAGCTTTCGCCAAACTCTGCAGATAAATCCAATCTTCCATACAAATTACTAGAGCTGGACTGTGCCGCACACCACAGTGGCAAGAACATGTGGTCTTCAATCATCGCTCATAATCCCACCGGGTCGCAGCAAGTGATAGCTGGAGGGGCCGACAGCAAGATCACGTCCACACCGCTGCCTCGAGTTTTACAGGCTGTAAACAATATACCTCACGGTGTCGCCGAATACACAGTGAATGATGTACTATCATGGACACAGTCTACTGTTTCTGGTAGCGCAGATGCTCTATCCACCAGTGTTCAAAAATCCTCGAAAAAGGCAGAATTTTTCAGAAGCTATTGCTTTGTAGACGAGACTACATTCCTACTTACAACCAATTCTGGCAAAGTTTTGGTGGCATCCCTATCTTCTGATTCGGATCGGAATGACACAAGCCTTCTGTCAAGCGCTACCCTCCTTGGACAGCCCGAAGACCTTGCCGGCTATTCTGTTTGTGCAAGTAGCTCTCAACCTGGCATTGCATTTATCGCAGGGGCTAACGGCAGCATCTATGTTTACCGTAAGGATGCCGCGACATTGTCCAAACTGTATGCAATGGGCAGTAAGGTCGGCGAAATATTCGCCGCAGATGTGCTTGGATCTTCCTGCCAGAATGCAACAGTGTTACTCGTGACGCTTGTTGGGCAGGGCAAAGCGCAGTTGCTATATGTGGATCCCACGCACGATACGGAGATATCAAAACACGTACAAGTACCTATATCAGATCATCTGACGGGATCTGTTGTCACCAGTATGGCCCATCTAAGAATCTCTAATAGAGAATTCATAGCTGTTGGGTTTCGACGTGGTTCCATTGCCTTGTACAGCATTGATGTGGACGAAGGCCAAGCCACGTTGGTCAAGGTCATCGAGAAAGCACATAGCGGGGAGACAGTCACTTGTTTGAAATGGATCGATTATCCTACAGAGCCATCCCGGGCCCAATTGTACTCAGCTGGGCGGGATGGACGTCTTACTGTGCATGATATGGATCTGTCTACAGGGTCCAGCACCTTAGTTCACGACCTTGCCATGCCATTTGGTCCTAATCTAGAGGGCCTATATTTGCAGGAGAATCGTCTACTTGTTCATGGCTTCTCGAGTAAGAAATGGTATCTCTACGATGTCACCAACGAAGAAGAGGTGATGAGCATCGACACAGGAGGTGCGCATAGAAGCTGGACATATCGTCCATATTCAACACTGGGAGGAACACTTGTGTGGACTAGAGCCTCTAGCATGCATATTTATAGCCAACATGGTATGAACCATACAGTCATCCGGTCTGGTGGTCATGGGCGTGAAATCAAAGCGCTCACCGTATCGTCCAAGGACTGTACAAGGACTCGCAATCGTCTCATCGCCACAGGCGCTGAAGACACGGATATTAAATTATTCCAGTATACCGAGGGAAGTCTGGTTTGCCGAAAGACGCTCAGAAAACACACGACCGGTATCCAACATCTCCAGTGGTCAGAGAATGGCGACTATCTGTTCAGTAGCGGCGGATGCGAAGAATGTAAGTTCCGGTTTCTCATTCTCGAGTCACAGAAACGACGGTACAACTTGCTAACCATTGTCGTAGTCTATGTGTGGCGTGTCCGGGATTTACCATCATCGTCTCTTGACATTGGTGTCGTTTGTGAGAGTGTCTATACCCCAGAAAGCGAGTATGCAGATCTGAGAATCATGTCTTTCGATGTGACGACCTGCGACACTGCCCATTTGATCACAATGGTGTTCTCAGATTCTAGTATCAAGGTAAGAATTCCTGCTCTATTGACCCCCATTGCAGTTCTGGTATTGATATATTCCAGGCCTATCGTTACCATGCTGAAGCTGCCACGAAGTGGGAGCCTCTCGCCAAAGGTCTCTATTTCACATCATGTCTTACACAGTGCGTACATTTGTCTGCAACTACGATCTTGACGGCTGGTACAGACGGTCATGCTGTGACATGGCCACTACCAGATAAGACACATGGCTTGTCTGCAGAATCTCCGGATACCATATCCAAATTGACGTGGAATAACCCTGCAAAGATACACCAAAACTCTTCCAAGGTTATGGTGTCTGAAAGCTTGGATAATGACACCACATTGGTTGTGTCCGGCGGCGATGATGGCAGCCTGGCATTCTTGCTTATGCGCTCTTCACCCTCACTTACAGCGTCGCCTACGACATCATACGCTTCTCCTCCTATACTCGTAAATCGCACACATGCATCGGCTGTCACAGCATGCGCATTGTATCGGCGCGGGTCTCACATAACGCTTTTTACATCTGGGAATGACGAGTGGGTCAGGCAATGGGAAATCACACTACAAGATCCAGACGCGAAAGGCGAGAGTAGCAGTCGGCCGGTGACCGAAGACGCCCTGAAGATCAGGAGGCTAGGCAAGATCAAGACCAGTGTCGCAGACGTGTCGAGTATGGCTGTGTTGGACACGGGCGATGGTACGACAGGTGCAAGGATTCTGATATGTGGTGTTGGAATGGAGATTATCCGTGTTGAGTGAATGGAACAATACAATTTGACATAGACAGGGCTAGCTAGAAGATGAGGCTGTTGACTGTGACGGAGAGTGGTTTAATTCGTATCGCTCATAAGTGACAGTGACTAGCTACTGTAACTGACAGATAATGGTGTTGCCCTCACAGCCCGTCTACCATCCGAGTGTGGCTACTCAGCGACAGATGTCGATTGGTGTCACTCACCCCCTCCCCTTTGCCCAGCGACGGTTGCCGATTGGTGCGGAGTATCCGAGCTGGGTTCAGGGACAGGTGCCGCAACTGTGTTGTCCGATGCGCGATTGCGATAAGTAAAAGTATGGATTCTACTAATCAGCTTCTCGTAGTTAGCATGTAAATCTTCAAGCACACGTTGGCCGAGGGGAGAGCACTCACAAATGTGCCAATGTCCAGAATGGCGCCCATGTTATCCATCTCAGCAGTCTACTTGCCAAAGGTGACAGAATCAAGATCAACCTTCCAGTAGGCTCGTCGAGAAGACCTTGGTTAATCATGTTGTAGAAGAGAGAGATCCCATGCTGACGATACTGATGGCATGGCCTGATGGGTATCGGCTAAATCTAGGTTTTTCCCGTAGGGAAAGGGGGGGTATAGGTGTAGAGCGAGGTGTGAAGAAGAGTGAAGTCGAGTTGTGGTGATTTGGATCCTTATATGGTACATGGGCAACAAGCAAATCAGGAACTACGCTGACTGTAGTTGCAGTGAATGCAGCAGAACAGCAACGGCGAACTACAGTAGCAATAATAAGTAAGGAAGCAGCACAGTAAACTGCAGTTGCGATTAGTAGGAAAGTAGCATATTGAACTGCAGTTACAGTAAGTAAGGAAATAATAAACCGAACTACAGTTGAAATAAGTAAGAAAGTAGCATGTTGACTTACAGTTGCGATACTAAGTAAGGAAGCAGCATAACGGACTACAGTTGCAATGGAGAAACGCAATGCAGCACAGCACTCCGATACCTAAAAAGTTTTCCATCTTTGGTCTGCTCTCTGTCTCTTCAACATTTTAGTTTATTTCGTATTCAACCTATTTATTCAAGATCTATTCCATTCCACCCTTCCAGCAAA